TCCCTCTCTCCCTCCCTTCCTCCCTCCCCCCTTGTCTGTCCGTCCGTCCGTCCGTCCATCCATCCATCCATCCATTTATCTATCTTTTATCTATCCATCCATCCATCCATCCATCCAATCTATCTTTTATCTCTCACCCTATTCTTTATGGCATGCAAAGGTGACAAATCATGAAAGGTTTAATTCAACTGATAGTCACAAGAACCAATGGCATTTACTAGAGAGTCCTTCAAAAACCCAAATGAAAAGCTGCTAATATTTAAGATAAGTGTTAATTAAAACTAGTCCGTAATCATAAGATTAATAAACACTTTGATAACAACTTGGCAGAAAAATCCTATGTAGGATGTGAAACCCCACCACTAAAATAATAGCAATGGCATAACATTTTGCCACAGACGGAAAAACTTATTAAAACACAAATTATGAAATTACAGAATAAATTACAAGAACAGCATTAAATCAGTGATAAACCCTTTTAAACTCAATAAAAGGTTACTTCTGGAAAGTCATGTGTAGGATTATACTGCTCATGTACCATTTCTGATTGCCATTCTACATTCTATTGCTATGGAGCATGGAGTTAATTTGGAGTTTTTACTCTCTTCATTTCTTCTCTTTTATCATTTTTTAAAATAATTGTTTTTCCAGGATCCTAAGGTCTCCCTTTTGTTATCAGTGATGGAATTCACTCTCTGTCCAAAGAAGTGGCAGAGGTTACATTTTTACCACTGTAATGGACAGTGGTAAAAATGGACTTCTACTCTATAGAAAAATCTAGTAATACAAAATATATTAAATAATGATACTAACTCACATTCCAGGTTGTATCCCTCTAGCAGGCAGCAGCCAATAGAGTGAGAATAGAAAAAGTTGAGTGTGATGATACCATACCATTACACTATTCTTGTATTACTAAAAGGTTATGGGGTAGTGAAAGAAGATGTATAAAATAGCCACAGATTCCCATTTCTTGCTGTAGCCTTATTTCTGCATTACTCTAGGATAGTTCTGAAAAATACTATATGGCGATTAATGGAGAAAAGGTCTCTCCTTGACTTTAAACCAGCGAACTAAAATGGAACTTCAATGTACAGCAATAATAACACCATATATTTGTCCACCAAATGTTTTAAGTCAGGACTGGACTGCCATTTTCAGGGTCAGAGCTGTACTTTAGTATTTTCAAAACCTTTGGATTCCTGAAAATTGCAGGAGGGGTCACACAGATGCTGTGATTAGGCCATTTTTTTCAAGAAGAAATTAAGGCGAAAAAAGTCTTAAGTCTTAACGTGCTTATATTGCCCCGTAATAAACATGTTTATTATACTCCTTCCTCCAATCAAAAGTTTGATAGCACTACCAAAAATCAGTGATTTCTATGTCCAATTTTGGCCAGGGTAATTTGGTGACACTCTTGAGGAGTGCAAATTGGGATTCACCATGCCCCATTTGTGTGGCTTTGAAATGCTGTCCTAAACCAAGAATGAGAAACCCAACAGCTTGGAGCTAGTGATTTCAGCTACTCCAAATACCCTTGGTACGCAGAATCTCTTCTAGGAGAGAGGAATGCTGCCTAACTTTCCTTTGTTTCTTTCCTGTAACCAAATCTATTTAAATGCCACAAATTGTACAGGGATTCCTGCTTGTTAAGTTTGATTCTGGGGCAGAGGTGAAATCTACTTACCTTCCCTACCGGTTCGGAAGCGCACGCGCCCTGCACGTGTGCTCGCTTCACTTACGCTCACGCAAACTTCACATGCATGCGCAGACCCTTTGTGCATGCGCAAACCCTTCTACGCATGCACAGAGGGTAAAAAACAGGTTACTTCCTGGTTAAAACCAAGTAACGACGACCGGGCAGGTGGGCGGAGCCTCATGCTGACATCGCTACCAGTTCTCCGAACCACCTGCCACCACCGGCCGAACCAGTAGCATTTCACCCCTGTTCTGTTATTTTTGGAACTGTAAATGGCTCTAGACAAAGATGAAAATAGAGACATCCTGAAGGAGCTGAGATAAATCTTAATATGAGTAGTATGTAATAGTAGCAGCAAGGAATAATTCTATATTGATAACATCCCATTCCCTCCACAGATTGATTGATTGATTGATTTATTTATTTATTTATTTATTTATTTATTTATTTATTTATTTATTTATTTGTTCGATTTATATGCCACCCTTCTCTGGAGACTCAGGGTGGCTTACAATGCGTTAAGCAATAGCCTTCATACTTTTGTATATACCTGCTTAGTAGGGCTTTCTGCCCCTCCTAAGCGGTGTTCTTTTTTATACAAAGTCAGCTTATTGCCCCCACAATCCGGGTCCTCATTTTACCTACCTCAGAAGGATGGAAGGCTGAGTCAACCTTGAGCCATTATTTCCTTAATGTAAGACCTAAGATCTACTGGGTTCATTCTAGCTCCTTCTGACACAAAAAGTATTGCTTTCTATATATATATGACTGCAATGACCATCATTTTCTTTTGATGGTCTTCTTTTGATCATTTTCTTTTGAGTATAGGGGTCCCCCACCCCCTGTCCCCTTCCTCTGAGACAATGGCAGCAGAGGTCAGAATCAGTAGGCTTTACTGTAAGAGGCCAAGAAATTTTATCCTGGTTAGGATTAACAGAGAGGTTCTATTTTCACAGTTAGGTTCTAACTCAACTTTATTATTAGCATTGAAAAACAAATTTCTTCAAGATCATCGTGGATGATGAGGTTTCACTCAGTGATGTACCCAGAGCTCGCTTAATCATGTTTTTGATCTCTAATCCTTGTTTTACGCACATGCCTATCTTGCGATACATTGCTAAAATGTACAATGGGGCTAATAATATATTGCTTATGTAATCATCACCAAACGCCATCTCTTTGGGATGGTCTAATAATGAATTGCTGCCATGGTCAGAGCAAGTAGTCTTCAAGGTCTCTTCCAACCCATGATTTTATACTTTATTCAGAAAGGAATCCCAGAGTAACCAAGCATGCTCTCAAATGGAGGGTTGTTACTATTGCCAACCATAGTTGTTCTATTGTAAAATAAAACTCATCCCATAAATTTCAGAAGGGTAAAAAAAGGGAGTCCCTGCGGATTTTACTTTGCTAGTCATTACCGATTATAGGGGGCAGTGCTCATCCAGTGAGCCAGTGCTGTCCAAAGCTGTTTCCCCAGTCTTGCAGCCAGCATGATGTCAATATTTCAGAAGTGTAGTGATTTATTTGATTGTATATTGACTATTTATCAGAGAAGGGAAAATTGTATAATACAGGCCATGGATAGCATCCATTTTTTTAATGCCCCCAAGCGGTCCATCCATACCACACCAAAATTGGTAGATAAGACTTTCAACAGGAACAGTCTTAATTTTTTTTTAAAGGACAAAATAGAGATGTAATGCATTATCAAAATTTAGTGCACTGGTTTTGCCCATTAATCACCTACTGCCCCCCCCCCTTTAAAAAGATCTAAAAAATTCAGTTCTGGCTTCAGGAATTATAGTGTATCACCCAGTAGGACCTTGTAAGCCATGGATTCCACTCCATCTCCAAATTTTGAAAAGTAAAATTAGAGCCTCTGGCCATGAGGGTTGCCTGCTTTTGTTATTTATCATCCAGATGTTTTAGTGTAGTGAGCAGTGCTATTCTTGTCCTTTCCTTCATTCTTTATTCATGGCCTTATATATTCTCCTGGAACTATGAATCAGAAACCTTCTTAAGATTATTTAGGCCTGTGCTATGATCTGGGCACATGTTTATATTTATAGTTCTTGGACTACTAAACACCCTTGATTTTTATTAACTATCAGGAGTTCCAACAATAGGCTTCTCAGTTACCCATCCACCTACCCAGATTGATTTACCTTGCAAAGGTGAGTCAAAAATTGGTGAGTCTATATTCAAGTTAAGTAGAGGAGGTATGAATTAAGGCTTTTTCTATCTACAAAGGCAGCTGTACTGTGATACATTTTACTCTGTGCCTGAAAATAACATGTCAACCAATGCAGTCTCTCTCTGGTCTCTTGAATGGATAGAATCCAGAGCTCTCTGTCTGATAGGAACCAGACATGTAGGTCAAGCCTCCCTCCAGATGGTTCATTAAATTAAATGAGGCTAAAAGACATTAGAAGCAAAGGTAACTGAAACTGAGTTGCAGGATAGTCACACATTTAAATCTGGACCATGAAGTAATAATTCCAAAGATATGCATGCAGTTCTCTTTCTTGAACTCTGCAATTCTCTGGATCTAATATGGGCTCTTGTAGTTCAGAATCTTGCACAGAGTTCTGACAAATACGCAGAAAAAAGTTGCTCTTAAAATAAACCTCATTTCTATAACTTCTTTACTTCTCTCCCCTAAAAGTTATCGTTCTGCTCTCCCTTCCTCCCTTTTCAGTAAAGTTGTAGAATGGCACTGACCCATTTCAAGCCACATAATAACCATTTGTTTAGAGGGTTTATTTCATTTAGTAATAACTCCTCCATCCCTAATTTGTGTCTTTAGGCTCTTCCACATGATCACAGTTCAAAAATACTCCACTAACTATTTTTAGAAGATGTCTCAGGATGCAGCATTGTCTTATTCCCACCTTGGAGGTAGTCCTTTTATCTGTAGCTGTTCCAATTTTAAGTTTCCCCAGCACAAGTCTTGGCATGCAAATGATTTATGACTTCTCATTCATGATCTCTGGGATCAATATGCTGACATTTGTAAACTGGTCAGAGAGTGCTGTAAAGCACCATTGAGCGGTATATAAGTCTAAGAACTATTGCTATCTCATCAATGAGAAGACAGGGACTAGCATCTGCTACGTTCCTCTTAGCTATTTGAGGTTGCTAAGGTGCATCTCTCCCTCTCCATCATTAATTACAACCCTCAATGGCCCTTTTGGCTTGGCTGTAAAAAAAAAAAAAACAACCACCCAAGAAAAACATACAAGTGCATTTGCCGTGATTGTCTGCATTTTTGCAGCCCAAATAGGGATAACCCAAGTGATAACACTCTTTATATACCTTTAATGGATGTCATAACGAAAAAACGATTTGAGACCTATTTAAGGTACAAAATAATGCAATTGCCTTCCAGGCAGACAGATAGATCCTGTTTGAGTGTTAAGGGGATAAAATTCATAATAAGAATATCTTAACAGTGGAACCAGTTACCCAGAGAGGTTGTGGGCACTCATTCATTGGATGTATTCAAGCAGAAAATAGATAGCCATCTGTCGAGAAATTGTAATTAGGACTCTTGTGCTCAGCAGGGGATCGGACTTGATGGCCTAAATGGTCTCTTCCAACTCTGTAATTCTGTGATTCTGAGCTTGTCATGACAGAAACTTTCATGGGTTGCCTTTCACTTCATCAAATGAAACTGAAGAAGTGGATTCACATCCATTAAACATTATGCCCTAAATGTGTCAGTCTACAAAGGCCCATAAGACTCCTTTTTGTTGTTGTTTGTTGCAACAGGGCAGCAGAGCTACCTATAATTCTCTGGATAGGTTCAAACACAGGGAAGAAAACCATCTCTCAGGGATGCACTAATCTGGATTTCTGCATAGAGTTGGGGACTGTGTTTGATGGTCAAAATAATTCTATGAGAATCAATAACCCAACTTGTTAGTCACTAGCAATCTTTGCTGGAAAGTTACACTGGATAACGAGATTTTACGTGAAGTTTCCTGTCTCCAAATATCTTGTTTAGGCAGGAATGTAGTTGCAGTTGTCAAATATTATCAGCTTCGTCACAAACGTGTATAAAACCTGGTGCGAAAGGAGAAATCCTATTAGGAATTATTGGCTATTATTGTGCTTTCATTTAAATTATACTCTTTATACTTTAATTACTGCCATTAAAGGTTCTTCTGGAATATCAAGATTTTGCTGCATTCCTGCAGTTTTCAGAATATCACTTGATGGAAGGAAACGGCCTAATTTAAAACGTTAAAAGAGTTTAAGATTTAAGGATCCGATAATTGGCTAATTTGCTGAAACAAATACATAGAAAAGATTGAAACAGATGGAAAAAAAGCCTTTGTGTTTCATGTTATGTATTGTTTCAGAGGTGGATACATTATGATAATGAAACATTATGATGCACTAAAGAATTTAAGTGGCTTTAATCTGTTAAACCTTTTGCTTATTAAGGATGAAGTTGGAATGCTCATCTAGTGTAGTTCAATTTATTGAGAATCTGTTTTCAGTTGAAATTTCCAGCGTTTGTGGAGTAATGCAGGGTTTTTTTTTCTCCTTGAGGGTTCTTTCCCGTTTTAATTGATAAGCAAAAAGTAATTGTAGTCTTACAATTGTATTTTATAATCTTGCAAGACAGATTGAACTGTGAAAACATGAGTCTTCCTTTCCTAACCCGCTGAGTTTATGTCATGAATCAGTAAATTTGGGTGCTGTAGAGAATCAGTTTTAGGAAGTCCTTGATACTTTCTTCCCAGGGGCCAGGGTCATTAGCCTGCACAACAGGGTCATTACTCATTAGAGCACGTTTACTAAGCATGGAGAAGAGAAGCCACTCCAGCTGGGAGAACACGTTTCCAATTATTGTGATTGAGCTGAGCATAATCAACGGTGTGTCTTCTTTGCCTTCTTCCCAAGGCAGACTCCAGAAACCATTAGGAGGGCCTGAGCAGTAATGCAGCTTGGGTGAGACTACTTGAATGTGTCTGGTACAAAGAAACTAACTTTTGACCAGAAAATCCCTGCCCAGCAGAGCTGGGCGGGAGCAGGAAGAGGCCCTTTCAGTTCATGGACTGGGCCAGGAAAGTAGCATGTCCAGCTGGGCTAAGGGACATCAAGAAGCACAAACTGAATTATTTCTAGGAAGGGCAGATTTAGAGCAGAGGTTTTCTTTTTTTGGAAGAATCTGCAGCTCCCAGGATAGCGTGTGACTGGGCTTCCTTGGAGGGTACTTCTCTGCCAGCAATACAATAAAAAAATAAACTCTTCCAGTGGAAAGGTAAATAGCTGATGGAGAATAAAATTAGTCTGTCCTCCCAATGCATGCATATACCAATATCTCTGCAGATTCCAGCAACCCGAGAGCTCTTAAATTCTCCTGGGTGTGGAATTTGAGACCATCTCCAGATGTTGCAAGTTGAAAAAGGGCTTCTTCCTTCACAACAAGGAAGTCTGCGTTAAAGTTTGATAGCAGTACCAAAGGGGCAGTTTCCAGTAGTGAAGGAGGTGACTCTTTCTTATCATTCTGGCTTTGGAGATATAATTGTCAGAGGGGGAAATTTGCCTGTGGAGTTCACGGTCCAAGAAACCTGAGCCAAGGTGAGCAGAGGCTGTACAGGCTCTTTCCAATTAAGGGACACATGTATTTGTCTCTCTTATTTTAATATGGAGAAAGCTTATCCCAACAGAATGGACAGCTCTTCATGCTGCTAGCTTCCTCCAGCCTCTCTGATTAATGAGCTTTCTAGCTCTCAGGCAGCAGCAGTTAGACACTATTCAGAGGAAACATGATTTTCCCAAGGATAAGAATAACTTAATTTGATGAATAAATAAATAATAAATAAATAAATTCTGGGAGCAGGATAGAACTGGGGGGGGTGTTTGCTGTGGATTTAATGGAGAATTTTAAAGTACACTCTAAAGACAGAGAGCTGGACACAAACTACTCAGTCCTGATCAGTAAGACTCTGCTTCTACCTTCAGTGTGTTGTATTTAGATGTAGAGCATCAAATCAGGGAGTTCAAGGCTTTATTTCCAGGTCTGAGCCCAGCAGGGCAGACTTCATCTAGAACAGACATTGACAGTATACCCAGAAAGTCAGTAATAAATATATCAAAATATCAGGGCTTATTTTAGGGCAAAAAATGCTATTTTTTCTGTTTGTATTGCATCATTCTTTTCTGGCAAAATCATAGTCATCCCTTTTTCTGTTGCTTCCCTGCTAAAAAAAAACCTCAATCATTTTGTGACCTTTGTTAGCCTAATTAAAATGGGACCCTAATAAATATGATGTATGTAACCCAGAGTTGCTTTGGGCTAAATGGGCAACTATAGAAATTTGATAAATAAGTAAATAATATGAACTTTTCAACTATTTCACTTGCTATCTCGATCTTAGCAGAATTACCATATAGAGACCTTCTGCACATTGTATAGCCCATGTAGGAGGGCTAATTACTTATAAAACACCTCAGAGGCATGCATATTTCCCTGCAGCTCATCTGAGGAAGCTTCTTTCATGAAGATATGAAAATTAGAAATAGCTTGATCAAAGTCACTTCTGGACACAGGAAAAGAAGGAAACAGTGTAGCATTACATGGTAGAAAGGCAGGGATCCCATGCCACTTCCAAATGAGAAAAGACAATAAATTTATGCCAATCCATCCCTAAACACTTTGCTCTGCTATTGTAATGGAAGTTCTGAAACAAGGAAGCATAACTCAAGGCTTTACATCTATTTGGCTCCATGAAACCTTTGGCTAATAATACCAAACATTAAAATCTGACTATCCTCTACTTGTGAATCTATTTATCTCTTTTTTTAAAGAAGTATTCCACAGCACCTTTATCTTAATTCTCAAGAAACACTTTTCACAGTGTTTAAATCTTTTAAGTCTTTAAATAATTTCACTTAACTGCAAAAATAGTTTACATGCATTTCTATATTCTTTATATTACATGTGCTTATATGCATTCAGACCTGTGTTACATTCCTAAAAAGATATTCTTGCTGTTATTCTTGCACAACACTGTTTGTGTAGTTGTTAAAAATGTTACCTAGTTGAAGTGGAATTTCCTTATTTCTGTGAAAATGGAGGAGGGGACACTTGTGAGTTAGCCAAAAGGAAAATAACCAAGTGCCATGCTCTACCCTCTAATTGTTTTTCCCTGGGAAAAACAACCAATTCTGATATGCATATTTCCACATAATGTGGAAAGCCCTTAATTTAAACCTCATCTTGGATAATACTGATCTAATATCCTGGACACTGCAAAAAATTTGGAGGATGTTTTATATGCAGCGCTCTGATTTTCAACAAACAGTTCTCGGTAAACATTAAATGGAAGAACTATTTTTAGTTACTAAAACTGACAATTGATTCACAAATCCTCCTAATCCATGAGTCTAAAATCTGCACCGCTGTATTTATTTTACACAATTATGTCTTACTTTGACCCTAGTTGCAAAAGTGGATTGTAATGAACAATATCGTTATCAAAATCAAATTGAATCAAACTTTATTATGCTCATAAACCAGCATAAGGAATGGGAAGGTAATATAATTAATACAAGAAGGTAGATATTTATGTAGATGTTGAATTTTTTATATTTAATAAAAAAAATTTAAAACTTAAAAAAAAATAATACAAGAAGGTGTACGAGCATAAAGGATATGAAAAGTTCAGGCATAAACGATGACATCAAAAAGAAAATAAATGTTCATAAGCAGCTAGTCCATTAAATATTCTGTGGTGCCAGACCTTACAGCTGAGTGCTAATCGTGAGCCAGAAATCATTACCTGGGGAAGGTTCAACACGGCTTCACAGAGCTTAACAAGATTGCATGTTGTGCTTGGATTGATGCCTGAAAGCAGCAGGCAATTTATCCACAGAATACTGTATATCACACCGAAGCATACAAGAATTAAAAGCAGGTGTGAACACAGAAATCCCCATAGAAGGCCCTTATCTTCAAAGAGGAGAAGCTGAGCCTGTGGTGCAACTACTGAGAAGCCTCTGCCATCCTCCAATCAAATGCAGACCGGCCATAAAGCAGGGCCTCAAGTTTTAACTCACTTTGGGTTTAAGCCTAGAGGCAAAAGGCAAGGTACAAAGCATATCTAGGTGATTTTTTTTTAAACATGAGCAAATCAGTAGCTTTCATGTGTGGGAGAGAAAAATGCATCAAGGTATATAGACAGTATTGCATTACATACTCAAAAGATTTGTGCTTTGGAAGTTGGCTTGTGGAACAGCCACGCTTCTATGGCAGGAGAGCAGGTATTCACACTCTGAATGCTCAGGTCAGACCCTTGAGTTAGACTTTCTATGGCTGAAAAAAAATTGCATTTATGCATTGCCATTTAATCGTATCAGTGAAGGACCAGTTATTTCTCTACTGCCTGAAGGATCACCAACTGCTCTGGATTTACACTATTCTTGCCTGTACCGGTGGGTGCTGGCTTGACTATAGGTTCCAATTACTGTGAACCTCTTTGTGGATTCATTGTGATCAGTTAGGTAGTCTACAAATGCCTTAAACAAATTAATTGATTGGATGAGCATGTTGTTTCCATGAGCTACGAAGGGGAAGGAGCAAGAATTATTAGCCACAGGTACTCCTTTTCTTGCTAAACCTGAACTGTCTACTCTGGATTAATCACATCCTGATAATTTCTGAAAGATACAGTTGCCTTCTAGCAAAAGAGGATTTCCCAGCCTTTTCCATCGCTCAGAGAATACTGGAGAATGGAAAGTCTTGATGTCTGGTGGGAAGTTGTCCCTCCAAGGCTCCACAGTTAAAACTCCAGCAATCCAAGCCAAGGGCTTTTTGCTTCATGGGGTAAGTGGAGCAGCCCCTTCTTAATCTCAGCATAGCTCTGGCAGCATCTGGTGCCAAAAGCTTGGCCTGTTGTTGCAAGGTACCCAGCGAAGAATAGCTTGTTTGTCCGGAGCACTGCAGTCTCATTCAGAAGGCCTTTAACCAGATTAGAGAAGGATTGAAGGCATTAGTTCACGGGTGCCTGGGAGTTTATTCTGCATGAACACAGGGCATTGCCCAACCTGCCCATGGGAACCCAGCATAGCTCTCCAGCCAGAAAGTCTGACTCTGGGCACAGGGGGGGTTTTGTCAGCCACAGGAAGGGGGCTTCTGGGTTAGGAGACAACAAGGTCTGAAGAGCCAGGGATCCCTGGAGGGTGTTAATGATTAACTGCCTTTTGAGCCCTAACTGGACTGTGCCAGGAGCTGTAAACAAGCCAGAGTGGTGCTGGCACATTCTCCCTCATCCCTCCTTATTTTCTTAGACAGGGACTGGAGGGAAGGGGAGGGTGGGGGAGAGATACTGGCTGAATCAGGAGGAGATAGTCGCTGCTGGCTTAAACCGCAGCCCCTGTCAGTGGGATGGAATGCAAAGAAAAGTGTCCACGAGATCAGGAGGCATCCAATCCCGTGTGCTCAGCAGACCTCAGCCCCTCCGTCTTGGTAGGCCAAGGAACATAATCTTCCCTGCTTTCCCATGCATGCTGCTACTTTTGACCTTACTAACATGCATGCACGCACACACATGGGCTTTGGGTGTCATCTTATTATTGCTAGCGTACCCAGAGATTGCATAGCTATACTACCCTCTGCTGGTTCCCCCAAGCAGCACTGTTTCTGTATATCCCTCACATAACTTACATTTTAATTCCCTGACATAACGTCTCTAATGTATTTTATTTTCTATGCCCTCTGCACACTTTTCTATGCACACTTAATTTACCATCCACACGTCACACAACTAACTTACCATCCAGAGCACTGCAATTCTTCCACTCCCTGGCAAGGGGAGCATATCAGTCCATACTGCAGGCCAAGGTGCCTTTCCAAGAAAATGAGGTGGTCTTCCTAGTTCCAGATGTGCTTAGTCAATTGCTGGATCCTCTGTAAGGAAAGCTTAGTTTTATTTTTTTATATGTACTCTTTTTCTTGGCTGCTTATTATTCTTTGGCAAACATGCACTCGTCTGTGGGTGAGGTATGTAAGTCTCTGCAAGGCGAGGCCATACTGTGGTTCTGAGGCGATGAGGCAAGATAGTCCTTGTGCTTGCAACTCTAAGCATTCAGCGGTGGAACCAAATCCAGCCCAGAAATAACTCCCCTTCCCCCAACAGGCTCCAATTGCAATGGCTGGCATCTGAAGCAGTCCCCTAAGTTGGGTATCCTCCACTCCCCCTGGCTCCAGTGTGGGAGGCCCCAGCACCAACCAGAGATAGTCAAAACACTAGTAAGTCCTTAACACCTGACCTGGGAGGAGGCTCAGCAGCCATGTTTATTCCTGACAGGTTCCTTTCAATCCATGATTTGCTGGCACTAGACTGACTATCTGGATGTAGCCCAGAAAATCCTGTCTCCGCCTGCGTCATCAACCTTGGAGACGCGCTCCTGAAGCTGGGAACTAACAGTTCAGCAGCGAGGAGCACGCAAGCATAAGTAACTTTGCTTTCCCCCCTTTCTAATCCTTTGCAGGACACCTGTTAAAACAGCAGTAGGACATCTTGTAAGGATATCAACAGCTCCAGGAGCATCCCTATGCAGTTTTGCAGCTCTCCAGAGGGATGTCCCAGTCACACCTTCTCGGAATCCTGCTTGCACTAGTTCTTTGCCTTCAGGTAAGGGTCTTGGTTTCTCCTTCTTGCCTGGCTGTTTCAGATCAAATACACAAACGCTGAGCAGGGCAGCTCACCTTTTTTTCTTTCTTTTCCTCAGGGAGCTTCTGCCCAGGTTATGGAATATGTATATGAATACGTGTATGAAAGTTGGAAGGCTTACAGTGAAGAATGCCATCGCAATATGAGCCTTTGGCCACCATCTACTGGTGAGACAAGGTCCCCCTGGAGATTGAGTATCAGCTGACAATTTATCTGAACAAGGAAAGTGAGACGGGGGAAAAGCATTGACAGTTTGGCAAAGTGTTTACTGATTTTCTTCCAGCTTATTCTGCTGAAGTCATATGCTTTTGAAAGCTGGGATCCTATGCTTTTTGATAACATCCTGAAAACTATTATGCAAGAATTTTGGAAACTGTGGCACTGGAGGAATGGAGAAAGGCATCACAGAAATAGTAGAATGTAATTTAACAGATCACTTTTTTCCTTGAGAGTGATGCATTCATGTACAGAAACACACAAATGGTTTCAAGGCTGAAATTTATGAATGAAGTACAAGGCAGGAACTGCTAGGCAATCGTATAGGTATTCACTCAAGAGTAAAGCAGGGGGAATGATCTCACAGATATATCTTCAGTACAACTTATTTGAGTCAAGTCAAGTCCCCAATAGAGTTTATTGGATAAAACATTTTGGGTCCTCATAATGTGAGATAAAACTAAAAGAGATAATCATGGAAATAGAAGAAATGAGAACCCCCCCACACACACACTCATATAATTGCTGTACCCATCTTTGTATTTTCTTCTCTTCTCTAGAATTGGTTTGTAACCGAACCTTTGATAAGTATTCATGCTGGCCTGATGCACAACTCAACAGCACTGTCAACGTTTCCTGCCCCTGGTACCTGCCCTGGTATGATCAAGGTATAGTATTTACACTAGGGAGATGATTGGCATTGCACCATATCTATAGCCGGGAAAATGGACTGTGTATCTAGACAATATGTGTGGTGATTCTAATGTCGGAGAACTGGGGAGACTCTTGCACTTCCATCTTCAGTCAAGAAAACTCACTGGGTAATTGGGATAAACAAACTTACTAGCCTACCTTGCCTAACACAGGGAGATATAATAAGAAGATATGATGTACTGTATTCCTCTATTATATAGGCCTGCAAGGTAGTAAAAAAATTCAATGATATACCATATTTTTCGGAGTATAAGACGCACCTTTCCCCCCCCCTAAAAGGGGATGAAAATTTAGGTGCATCTTATACACCGAATGTACCCCTGCCTACCCACTGGCCCCCACCCTTTGGCCTCTGCCTCCCAGCAGTTTACCTTGCAGCAAGCAGCAATAAGAAACAGCTCCTTTCAGCTTCAGCACAGCCTAATTAGCACAAGTTGATTGGATGGCCTCCCGACTCTCAGCTGTTTTGCAGGGCCTCTGCTGCTTGCTGCAAGGAGGTAAATTGCTGGGAGCAGATTTTCTTTTTCCTTGTGCTAATCAAGCTATGATGAAAATGAAAATGAAAGTAAAGCAGGTTATTTGCTGTTTGCTCCAAAGAGGCAAAATTGCTGGGAGGCAGAGGCAGATTTCTTTTTCTTGTTTTCCTCGCCAAAAAAGGAAGATGCATCTTATAGTCTGGAGCGTCATATACTCCAAAAAATACGGTATGTCAACTTTCAGCCTAAGAGTTGGCCATATATTAGTCAATATGCTTACATATGGTCTATAATTCACAGTGGGGAAAATGAATGATATACTATGCCATTATTATTTCAAAGCTCTAGAAAGGCTTTTTCTAGTTTTTACTGTTTTGTTTATTTAGTTTTTGTTACCTATTATTTGAGATACTTCGATAAAGTTTAGTAGATTTAATGTAGTTTATCAGTTTTAAAATATAATTTAAAAGCTTACACGCACACTGTTTCGGTTCTGAATGAAAAGAGGGTCATAAAACTAATATAAAATAAGGGAAATGGTAAGCAAATGCATTAAAGATTTGCCTAATTTTCTGGGGAAACGTGAGATGAAAGTCAGAAGGTGCCAGAATTTAAATTTAGAACAGACATTAGAATCAACAATTAAAGCTCAGAACAGGTAGACATTCTCTATGGAGTCAGATATATTTATGATAATGTTCCTCTTTATTTCTGTAGTGAAGCAAGGCTATGTATTCAAGAAATGTGGCCCAGATGGACAGTGGGTGACTGGTCCTGGAGGGAAGTCACTGCGCAATGCTGATCAATGTATGATAGACAACAAGGAAGACCAGGTTAGCAGAGATCTAAATAAATTCTGTTAATTTCTACAAGATCATCTTTTTCTGGCTTCCAATAGATAAAGGATCTGAATTGATTTCGTGCATCAGACGAAATCTTTTCCTCTTTTTTTTTTTTCCAGGAGTGGTTTGATAGAATCTACGGAAGCTTCAGAGTGATGTACACGGTGGGCTACTCAGTGTCCCTCTGTGCTCTGCTTCTGGCCTTGGCTGTGTTGCTAGGCTTCAGGTGATTTGGAAACTGGATTGGGACTGGCGATGGTAGGGTGGTTGACCCTTGCAACAGTGGAGGAAAAAGGAAGAAAATGGATTGGGTTGGAATGAGATGGATTCCTTCAAAGTGGGAGGAGAAAAGAAAGAGGGGGGGATTGGTAGATTTTGGTCATAGGCCTACTATTAGTGCCATCAGAGTAAACTTCCAGTGTCTCACTCAGCATAATGAGCAAAAGGGGCCCTCAAGCAAAACAGGTATGGATTATCTTATTCTGAAATATACATTATCCTCTACTGAGGAAAGCCCTAGTCTTCAAGTTCAACCTCTAAAATTATCTGGCTACTGATTAAAACAGTTATTTTGTCAACTTTAAGATGTCTGGATTTCAATGGGGAGTTGAGGTCCAGATATCTTAAGGTTGCCAAGATTGAGAAAGCCATGATTAAAAGAACATTTAAACCTATTCCATCTCATCTCACTTTGGGCACAACTTGGGGGAAGATGCACTGGAGTAGGCACACCTTGCTAGTCTGGAGAGACTGGATTTTCTTCAGAACTGTTAGTGTGAGGGGTTGCAGCGGGTTGAAGAGAGTGATGCAAGAACTGAAAAACTGATGAATGGAGTGAGGACAAAAAACAGGGAATGGGAGGAACAGTGGCCCAGTGGGGTGAAGGTTTGGGCAGAGAAGTATAGCGTGACCTGAGCCAGATAGACAGGCATTTTTGACAAGCTCCTTGCTCTCCAGCAAGCTGCACTGCATGCGCAACTACATCCACATGAACCTCTTCGCCTCCTTCATCCTGAAGGGCATCTCAGTGCTGACCATCGACACGCTGCTACACACTCGCTACAGTGAGAAGGTTAATGACTACAATGTGAGCCTTTGGCAGAATGACAAGGTAACAGCACTCTTTTTTATAGTCCCTCATTTATTTTATTTTCTCCTGTTTCCAGCTACATTGTAAGGTTTCCACCCAACCAATGGCTACCTATATATGTACTGATCCAATAAACCTTATGCCAGGAGTTTCTGAACTTTGTGATAATGCAACCCCCTCAAGTGATAAATGAATTTCTGGGACATGAATTAGGATGGACATGTAATTCATATGTCTAAATAATTTATGCACATATAAATAATTACATGTTTTTATATGTAGACTTGGTGGTTCCTCCGTATCACTAGAAGTTCTCAGATTTCAAGAACTACAATGAACCACTGCAGGCTCACATAGTCACAACAGGGAATAAAAGCCTGATTGAGTTTTGACAATGCTACTACCCCTTTAGTTTTTAAATAAATTGTGACACTCTACCTCCCCTCCACACTTCTTGAAGATCCTTGTCCCTCTCTGAGAGGTCCTAACCTCCAGTCTAAGAATTTCTGTTTTAGGCCCATCATTCTGCTATTCTACAGTCTCAGCTTTTCTGTTCCCATGCCCAAACAACCAAGGACCATTGAAAAGTTTGGGGATGGTTTAAAATAACTTATGGGGAAAAAACATTTTTAGGTCAGCTGAAACCTACATGTAGAGAACATTCAGTACAAAATGCCAATAACTTGTCAATAACCTTCTCATGTCAATAATCTTCACATAAGGATGCTCTATTGTTCTTCTCATATGTAACTGCTGAAGATAAGATCCTTGTGAAAGCTCATCCTGGAGCTAGATTTTGATTCAAAATGAGTCATGGTCATGCTATAAAATCTCCATTCAGTGATTCAGTGTTTGTAGATTTATTTAGTGAGGAACATCTGATCCTCTGGAAGTTCTGAACTACATTTCCCAGCAGCTCCAGTTAGCAATTCTGCTTTGGCAACATCTGGAAAGTCACGCATTACACATTTTGTAATCCTGGATATGGGAA